GTACATATGTATAATACATGAATATACAATTTATTTACATATATTTTATGAAACGAACGTTGAAATTAACATGATTATAAGAAACAACTTGTACACACTTGAAACACGATACACGATACTTAAACTTTGTATTGTTACCATTCTTACACATCTTTTTACAATAAAGAGAAAATATATTAAGTGGTACTGTTTTAACCGTACACGAGGGTCCAGTTAGTGGGATGATTGTATGCCAATAATACGGGGCTGTGTAATAATAACGATATCGTGTTTTCGTTCACTGTGTTCGATATTACAAACCACTGCTCAAGCCAGTTTTTCATACTTTCTAACGACATATTTGCAGGATTTACACCCCTGAACGAAAGTGCCTAAAACATTTAGATGTAATATACTGTATAGTGTGTACACGAATAAACGTTTAAATAAATAATGAACATGAGAAAATTTGATGCGCACCCAACGCATTGCTTCGTTAGACATTTCATTGATTCCACCTTCCCTTTGTATAGCTTGGTCCATCTGTTTTATTAGCATGCCTCTTTCTATTAGTTTTTTCTTTTTAAAAGGCCTCCACGAAGACATGTCGTGTATGCCAAGTAATTCGTTCTAAAATGAGTTTCATTCAACGAATTAATAAAGAATTAATAAATAGATCAAACTGGTGTGTAAGATTTAGTCAAATGATATTTATTAACATACTATATGTTTTCTTTTAAGACTGTTTAACGAGAACGGTTGATTAGCAAACAATTCAGAGCAGGCAATAACGTCGTTCACGTTAGGATGTGTTCCACTGCCAAGACATGCCATTATCCCGCTCCACTTCAATCTTAATGATTGACTCTTAATGTTCTGAAGCTCTGCTTGCATGCATCTGAACAGCGGCCTGTTATGCCTTAATCGTCTCTTATGATCCGACAGCATAAAATCCAACTTTTGTTGTAACGTCCAATAATGAGAAGTTAGCAAATACCTTGGGAAATAGTATGCCAAGGGAAAGATGATGTAGTTCGTAAAAGGGAGAGCAGATAGTAATAGAACGGGGCATATCTTTGAGAAGTCTTTAGGCACTGTGTGGGTCAACCTCAGCTCGTCGGTGGTCAAAGTATCAACCCCATCGACACTCTGCTTTTTCAGTATCAAGACGTAATTTTTTACATCTTGGGTAAAGTCTTTGGTACCGATGCTGAATATACGATACACGTGCATCGTCTTTGGGAAATTCTTCTCGAATACGTGGTCATAATTCTTAATATAATCAATGTATTTGTCAAACCAGTATTTTTTAATGTTTGAAACTGTGTTCTTTTCTACTCTGCTCGCCCATTGTATTTGTTGTTTGATACACGTGTGCGAAAGGACTACTGTCTTTTGATTCAGAGAAAACAATCTTTGTTGTATTAATCTGTACATTGTAGCAGTTCAATTTTTAACACATTACGTGTGGTTCTATTATTCTGTTTTTCAATAATTGATTAAAAATGCTGGTAAATATCCGAAAAGATGATACGACTGTAAAATCTTAAGGCACCGTTTCATAGTCCAAGTACTCGTTAAAAGTTGAAACACTTGTCACATAAAAGGACTTTTCCTGTTTTAACACCTTGACATAAAATCGTATATTAATTTTTATTAAGAAACGGAGAATATTCGGAACATAACCCGTAAGATGAGTGACGAAACGCGTGTGCGTAGAGAAGAGCTTTTAAGAATCAATGATCGAGGAAATTAGCGAATTGTTTGTCACTTTCTAAATCTAATAATTTTTAGACTTGCTCGCTATTTGTCCAATTTTTAACTGCAATTGTATTAAGCAACATGTTTAATAGGGTATATGACACAGAGAAAAGCTGGACCTCTCTTGTAATGCGCGAGCGCAAATATAAGTACGCAAAATAATAGCAATTGCTATTCTTTAAAGGCCTGCAGAAAGAATGCTAGACTGTTTTGAATTATTGAATTTCTGAATTAGAAATGGCATACTACGTTAGAATAAATGATTTAGAGAACATGTGCTGGAAATCGAAAAATGGAAATGATCGCCTATACTTGTTATTAAAGGGCCAACATATTACGATTTACTGAATCTCTTGTTTCTCTGAATAATTATAACACTGATTGCACAGGTGTTGCTAGTATATCTTTTTATTGAAAAACAGAAAACAATCCTGTAGTATCACTGCAATATACGCGCGTGATAGTCATGGAAATTTCAACTTACTATTAACTAACAAAATTGAAGGCACATGTAGCATTTTTACGGGAATGTACAATAATATAAATGTAGTAGACGTACAGGGAAATTATAGTTTTGATTTACAGCGTGTGGAACACGTTTGATTTGGTTTATAAGATGCGAACTAATACCGCAACGCATGAAGAATAATTCCCTCAGCAAAACTTGAATCTTATAAAATACTATGGCGTGATTAAGATTTTGCATTTCGCGTAAATTGAAATAAAGATGAGTACAACTTTTTCCACACGAAAGAAAGCAGTTTACCACACCGAATCAGCAAAGTTGATCCGAGACGTGTCGTGCAAAGGAAGACGTAATAAATTACCTTGTATTAGCTTAAAAAGTTCAGTTTCAGGAGTGTAAAATACTTTTTAAAATGGACCATATGAATGTGTATAGCATTATGTATTTGATATAAAAATATCTAAAAAGATTATTAACCCTTTACACGTATGTAATAAGTTAAACTTTAAAAATATTCAGAATGGCACATATTTAGTAAACTAATAGTTTTTAACATAGATTATTGATATCAGCCTTTGAGTCTGGACTCAACGAGCTCCAGAATGTATTAATACACTTCTGCAATTTTAATTTACTCTCGTTAGCGTCGCATATTTTATCAATTTCGTAATGTTCCGATACTAATTTGTCTATCCACTCATTTAAATTGGAATTAATGTTAATTTCGGTATCCGTACTGTACGTTCTTCGTCCGTAAAAGTTCATGGAACTTAATAAATGTGACCACTTCTTGTTCGTTTCTTCGTTAACATGGTAATCACTGGCTGCGTTATTCACTTCTTTGGCTTTCTCCACGTCGATCTTTTTATTTCTCCAGTATCCCAACGGAGTCACCAAAAAATTCATTTTTGCAACTAACAATGTGTCAGCAAATAAGAAGACATGCCAGGAACCCACAACTAAATGTTCATTAAATTGTGGCCTAACATACCCCGCCTGAAACCGAGCTTGAACTATTATTTAAAGAAATATTGGACATAAATTAAGTAGAAAAATATTTACCAATGCCATTTCTTCGAGCAGTATGTAATTAACATCTACCAGTCGATCGTAAGGGTCCACCCACAATACTGACAAATTCTGCGGCGTCGTGATTCCAGTGTCAAATTCGTACGATAAAACCGGACTTGAGTATGGTCCGATGCTTCCCATTAGATTTCTAAACGTCTTCTCTTTTTGATCGTAATCAGTACTAACAGACAAACTCTGTATCTTTCCCAACCATTCTCTACTAGTAGAAAAGTTATGTTTCAAATATACCAGTGATTCAACTCGTTCCGTATATCCAACTGTTTCCTCTCCTGTCACGGCTTCGGCTAGAATCAGAATCCCGACAAACTGATTTTGTCTAAAATAGGCAGTTGTCTCCAAAAGATGAACTCGTTTGAAGTCCATATTCAATTTGCGGAAAGTCGATCTCGCTATGGAGTTTGAGACAGTTAATTGCGCATCGTCAGTCAAGGGACTCAAATCTGCATTATGGTACAAGCTTTGCCAGTACGCGTCATAACCTGCCGCGATGACAGTTTTATTCAATTTCTCCGGGTACAACCACTCCTCGACTCTGTCTATAATCCTTTGGTCAATGATCGGCTCGAACTTTCGGGCGAAGAACAAATTACGATCCACCGTGTTGCGAATTCTGCTGAAATCTTCGAGTTTGAAATCGTTCGGACTGCAACCGCACCAATCCACCACAGCCTTGTACTGGCATTTACACCCCAATTTCCTTTTCCAATTCGTAACGTGTAAATTGTTGTCTATGTACGTGTTGCAGAATCTCGAGTTACGTAAAACTGTATGAAAAAAGGATTCGGCAGGCAATAAGGTATACTTGAATACTTTTAGAAGATTAGTCACTAACGCATCCGGCTGCGAATTAGCAACATATTCTACGAATTCTCTGCTTAAGGCTACCCAGTCACTACCACCGTCGACCTGAATGCCTACAAAAAAAACATGTTTTCTTCAGATTTAATCAATAGTCAATTATAAAATAAAGCGAGCATACCGTCAGGTAATTTTCGATCGCCCGTCCTCCACATACGAGTTTCACATTCTACAAAAGTCTTGTCTAAACCTTGTTTGGTAATAAAACGTTGAACTTCTCTCCCGTGAGATTTTACAAAGTTCATTCCTCTGTTCAAACTAAGAAATTGAGTTAATTGCGCGTTACTTTTTATAGGATAATCCGATTCCGACAAATTGACAAGGAAATCCCAGTGATGGCTGTGTGCAATCATTTGTTGCGCAGATCTCAGGAAAGTCGTCAAGAGGCTCGCACCGCCCCAAATGCTTGCGTGTCTTAAATTTTCTCCCCTCGCCACTTTGATGTTGCTCGTTTTGCAAGATTTCTCCACTTCCAACATTTCTCGGTAAAGATAATCTTGTCGCTGGAAGTGCACAGATTATAATAGTGACTATGGACTTCTTTTGCTATGTCAAAGGCAAAGAATTTATTGAATTACCGCGTCAACGTGAATATAAAAGAAGTGTGAAGGATGATAAAGAATATTGATTAGTCGTTTCACTTGTCGACTGGCCCTGCCATTTACTGTCAACAAATACGCTATTTGTACAGGCTTTACATTCTCGCCATCTGTGCTTGCATTTCGTGCTTCTTGGGCTTTAAATTCTGTTCAATACAAGAAATGAGCTTCGTAAATTTGGACATGGATATAAGTGACAAGATTATCTTACTTTGGATTCCAGTCCAAAATACATTGATCGTCAAGTATCCACCGCAAGAATATTTTGGATTACCAGAACACTTCATGTTGCAACTAGAGTCTGGTAATCTCTTTAACTGAGAAGGTTTCTCCATACCACAGAAACATTCAACGCTGAAATTGAACACTTGGATATATATTTTATAATTAAAACAGTCGTCAATTATGCTGTACTGAAAAGACTTACGAATATTCAGTACCAGCATACAAATATCCCGATTGCATACACAGAAAAGCACACCGTTCCGGAGAATTGTTCCCTTTAAAAACATGGTAATAACCGGATAATATCCTTAATGTTTTATCATCTTTGAAGCATCCCAAACTGACTGGTTTGTCTATAAATCCTGGAGAATGAGGGCACAGAGATTGTATCCTCTCTGGATACAATAATCCCTGTTGATTAAGGCACGTCACATTGACAATGTATTGTTTGCATACTTGACTTTGTGCACGTGTTACAGCACTGACTGCATCTCTGCCAGTGAATTCACATGGTGGAGTAAAATTTAACAATTTATGATCTAATTTTAGTCTAGTAGTACGATTTCGATTAGTCTGCGAAATCTTGGAATTACTAGTTTTGTCGGGTGGAAGTTTCAATTGACCTTTTGATAAACCCTCATCTTCTTCAGGTTGAGACAGTTCCTATGCAGAAAAATACGAGGTCGATTCATACTGACATGATTAATAACTAACGAGTGGTTTAATCGAACTTACATCGCCTGAAGAGAGTCGGCTGGACTTTCGATTTCGAATTTCCAAACCGAAAAACGTGTGAGCTAAATAAATTTGTACACATAGCACAGTTATACCAAACACAAACAATATACGGTATTTTCTTAAACAGCTGGAGGATCGACTTATTGAATGGGTTTTCGTCAGAACCATTTTCGTAATTTTAATTTCTGTCGATCACATCCCTCGGGTTCCGATTAATTTTGAAAGTGCAACAGCCCACTCCAATGGGTAATTCATTACAAAACACGGGGAACATGTTGCACTCGTACCTCGTACGTCCGATATTACGTATTATGTACAGTATTACGATGCGTTATATCATTCATATATGCAAACGCATAAGTGATTATAATAAATTACCGAACGATAATGACGGATTATAAAGTAAAACGTTTGTTCGGTACTTTTGATGTAAATATTCGTTTAGATTTGCCAGCACGTATTCAAGATCATTCAGCTCGAGATTTCGCATCGAGCCAGGAGATGCAGGCATAAAAGTTTCAAAAATAAATTGTGCGAGGTAATGTTGTTCCAACTGATGTTGTACATTTCAACAAATTAATAAATATACATGTATATATAAAATCTATACCGCATTACATACTAGTAATGGCTAGAACTGCTATTTTCGAATCACTTGTGATTCCATCACGTTCATTCTAGTGATGGCTAGAACAGCTACAACTACTACTTTCGAATCACTCGTGATTCGATCACGTTCGTTCCCAATCACGATGATTTTTCAGTGTGATTCGTGATTTTATATTAGTAGTAGGTATATAGAAAGAACCTGCTAGAATCTGCTACTCGCGCGCGCCACGTATGAACCGCGCGCATTTAAAGTAATGGATGATGAGGTAGAGAAAACCGATGAATAAATGTTCAATATAATAGTGATACTTTCTTACGTCAATAAAATTAATATTGTTATTGCAATTAAATACATATAATAATGTATGAAACATGTACATTTCTAGTGGTGGTAGTACTAAACAATTACTTGAATACAACCACAAAGTAGTAAAATAAAAATTATACACATGTACAATAGGATCTACTTGTTATAATTTCTATCATGCATTTTTTACCCATTCTCCAAAAGAGTTGGTAATTTTTTTAATAGCATATCAGACATTTCATAAATCATAAGCTATTTCAGGCAATTTCAGCAGATATGAACTATATAGATGAGAATATCATGATTATAGAGAAACTATACTTACAAATCGCAATCACGGGCCGGTATCATATAAAATGAGATAATATGCATACTATCTCTATTCGGTGAGTCATTGCTTATTCTTAAGTCGGGTATTCATCTGAGCACGAATGCGAACGAGGCAAGGCGAGGCCGAACGAGCATACATATGTGGACGTGTAACCGAGGCGCGGCAAACTGCATTCGGCTGTTCGCCGCACAGACTGAGGCATTCGGGACCCGAGCCGATCGGAGTCGGTACTTCAAAGAAAAATTTGGTTACGTATGGACGGCATTCGTGTACGTTCCACGTACCTTGCCTATCTCGCTGGATCATCGTTCACTGCGTTCGCTGTGGATCACTGTCTCGTTCGTTGCCTCGGCAGACTTCGTTTGCGAAGAAAAATTTTACAAACGAGACAAAACGAGGCATTTGTTCGGACTCGCCTTGCCTCGTTCGCATTCGTGCTCAGATGAATACCCGGCTTAATATCGTTTCGCACAGCTTGGAAGATAGTGGTGGGGCAGGGAATTCCCCTCGCATTATCCCCGCACGATTCTAAAGTATTGAGATGCGTATAAGTAGACTGAAGTAGAAGAAGTAAAAACTGAACTCGTGAACGTATTTGTCTACAAAACTTATTTTATATATCTGATTTGAAATATACAAGTTCCAAATTTAACATGGGAATTCCTGGACTAACTGGATACATAAATAATCATTCTGACCATTACTTGCGGTATTATGAATTACATAATACATATTTAGTGATTGACGGTAACAACGTAGGTTGTCAAATATATCATTCGCAAAAGGCATATCGTAATTGTGCATTCGGCGGCAATTATGATGGATATGCACGCGACGTGTCAATCTTTTTCGACGATCTGTTAAAATGTGGCATAAAGCCGTTGGTTTTGATTGACGGTGGTACCGAGGACAAAAAATTAAAAACAGTCATAAAGAGAACCAACCAGAAAATCCAAAAAGCTTCGACTTATTCCCCGTGTCAGAATAAAGAGACATTTCTGCCCGTGTTGCAAGGAGAAGTTTTCAGAGATGTGATGAGAGAAAAGAACATTCGACAGGTACAGTGTCTATTTGAAGCTGATAATGATATAGCTGCAATAGCAAGAATGCTCGAATGTCCTGTACTCAGTGCAGATTCGGATTTTTATTTAAGCGGATTAATGTACATACCATTTCACACATTGAATGTTGGTACAGTTAGGCGTTCAGGTGAAAGATATGTAAAACAATGTAAAATGTATAAAGTCGAATATTTACTAAATTCATTTAGTGGGCTGCAGGAATCAATGTTACCATTGGCAGCAATTTTGTTCGGAAACGATTATGTTAAACGTGGAACGTTTAAAAACTTCTTTCGTCATTTGAAATTGAAGACGGCATCAACAGCATGGTGCGAGAGAGAACGCTGCATCGAGGCAATTTTTTCATGGCTAAGCAAGTTCACCTTGGACGAAGCAGTTGCCAACATATTAACAAGAATACCCAAACCTTCGCGACGGAGCGTATTGAATTTAATAGAAGAGAATATTAGTTATACGAATTCATTAGCTGAAATACTTGTACCATTAGGATTTCCAGGAGATTACCTCGCTCGTAGAGATACGAGTCGCTTGAACAGGAGTTTTAAATTTAACGGCGACATTGATACTTTGACCTACATGGGAGAAGTTTGTGAAGGAGAAGAGGAGGTGAGCGAAAAGGACGACGACGATGAGATAGAACTAATAAGCACAATAACTGAGACCGAATCGTTGTCGCGAAATGAAGCCATTAGTAAATTGCCTGAATGGTTTGTAAATGAATATCTTTTGGCCAAATATCCTCCGTATTTCATGAACATGATAGTTCGTAGATTGTATTCGTGTCCAATACAAATTGAAAATATCAATTATTCTTCGAGTAATGTAATAACTTTAAAGATCATTAGCGTTATTTTTGGTCTTTTAAAATCAGCAATAAATGACAAAGTACGTTACATGAGATGCATAATCAGAGATCAAAGCAGAATTGTATTACGTGAATTAGAAGGCACAGAGACACTAGATTGTTGTAAACTTCCATCTCTATCCAAACTTAGGGAAATTCCATCAGATTCACGCAAAGAAATCTTGAATAAAACTTTAGGGATTAGCGATACAGATGGTATAAATGAGCTTCCGCCAAACTGGATATTATATTTTGGATGTATCAAGTACTGGATAAGGGAGCAAGAACCTACCGTGTTTCATAAATCTAACGTATATGCTATACTCATCGGTACAATATTTCATATAATAGATTCCAAGATCGGTGCATATAGATCGGCCCGCAATTTTGAAGAGAGAAAGAGCCGAGTAATTGAAAATATAAAACGAAAAAGAAGAGCGAATAATTATAAACCGAACTACAAGACGAATGGCACAGTTATCGAAGCCTATAATGAAATCTGCTATGACGACTGTCTTTTAGCCGCATCATTTTTTATTTCTCATTTTCAATTAGATAGAAAATTGCGTTCAAATCCGAAATTATTTAATAGATCCATAGTCCATGCATTTGCAGAATTTCAGATTTGTCTGAGACAGGTCATGAGTCTGAACGCGCTATTAGGGTGTCCCTATCCACAGACTACAGTTGCCACTTTCTATAATGGTACTTTGTTGTATAATTTAAGTACTGATTTTAAAACGCATCAGGATATTGAGAAATACATAAATGCTGTGCTTGAAATGTCTCCAAGCCTCTTGAGATTATTTCATATACTTTTGTCAAAAGTAAAA